TGGTTACACTCACCTGGTTACACAGACCCTCACCTGATTACACTCACCTGGTTACACTCACCTGGTTACACAGACCCTCACCTGATTACACTCACCTGGTTACACTCACCTGGTTACACAGACCCTCACCTGATTACACTCACCTGGTTACACTCACCTGGTTACACAGACCCTCACCTGATTACACTCACCTGGTTACACTCACCTGGTTACACAGACCCTCACCTGATTACACTCACCTGGTTACACTCACCTGGTTACACAGACCCTCACCTGATTACACTCACCTGGTTACACTCACCTGGTTACACAGACCCTCACCTGATTACACTCACCTGGTTACACTCACCTGGTTACACAGACCCTCACCTGATTACACTCACCTGGTTACACTCACCTGGTTACACAGACCCTCACCTGATTACACTCACCTGGTTACACTCACCTGGTTACACACAGACTCTCACCTGGTTACACTCACCTGGTTACACTCACCTGGTTACACTCACCTGGTTACACTCACCTGGTTACACACAGACTCTCACCTGGACACAGACTCATCTTTCCTCACCTGTATGAGCAGCCTGACCTCACCTGAGCTCCTCCTCCTCCTCAGGATAAGACCATGCTGTGTCACCTGCACAAGCCCAGGACTCTGGTCCTCAGCGGGGACAGGTCGTCCAGCTGCTCGCCCTCCTCCACACCTGACCTGACCTCGGACCCGGCGCCGTTCAGCGACCCGTACGACTCGGAGCTGCGCTGCTTYGCCGTGTTCCGGCGAGTCTTCGTGCAGCGGGACGAGGCGCGTCAGATCGCCGCCCTGGTGCAGCGCGGCGAGCGGCAGCACACCTTCCGGGTGGGCAGCCTGCTGTTCCGCGCCGTCGGCAGGCTCCTCCCACATCAGATGGGCTCCTTTCACAACCACAGCGCCATCTTCCCTGTTGGGTACCACGCCAACCGCTACTACTGGAGCATGCGCCACAGCAACAGGTGATCCTCCACACCTGTGATCTGGATCTAACTGTAAAACCAGGATCTGCCCTGCTGTGGGCTGTCCAGGTCTGCTGGACTCACCTGGAGACCAGTGGACAGGTTTAAGTCTTTGTCTGCGAAGATGTTAGAAGATGGACAGAAACACTGAGAAACACACTACATACAGTATTTACTCATGTATAATACACTCCACATACAGCAGGTATTTACAGGTATTTACAGGTATTCTCAGGTATTCACAGGTATTTACAGGTATTCACAGGTATTCACAGGTATTTACAGGTATTCACAGGTATTCTCAGGTATTTACAGGTATTCACAGGTATTCACAGGTATTTACAGGTATTCACAGGTATTCTCAGGTATTTACAGGTATTCTCAGGTATTTACAGGTATTTACAGGTATTCACAGGTATTCTCAGGTATTTACAGGTATTCTCAGGTATTTACAGGTATTTACAGGTATTCACAGGTATTCACAAGTATTTACAGGTATTCACAGGTATTCTCAAGTATTTACAGGTATTCACAGGTATTCTCAGGTATTCACAACAACAATTCAGTAATATGAGAGAAAATATTCAAACCTGTATTTGTTCATTAAAAAAGATGAGTCAGAATTTACCCCCCACCCTTCCTTAATGGAAGCTGTTTGTAGACACATTTCATGTTATACTTACAGAAATACAGTAAATAAAGATTAAATTCCTTCACATCGTCCATCTGAAGCCGAACAGTCGACGCACAGTGATGTGGTTGTTAAACATTTGTTTTCACACATCTTACATCCTGAGACACACCTAGCTGAGCTTCAGGGAAACCCCTCCCCCTGCAGTACACATACCTGCACCTGAACGAGCTAATGCTAATTAGCCTGTTAGCAGCAGATTTTATAAACATGAACCATGTTAACAACGCTCATTGAAGGACGACTGTTCTAACCATTCTTCCAGAGCTGCCCTATTGTGGCTGTGTTGTAGCTACATTTTAGCTACATTTTAGCTGCGTTGTAGCTACATTTTAGCTGTGTTGTAGCTGTGTTGTAGCTGTATTGTAGCTACATGTTAGCCATGTTGTAGCTGTGTTGTAGCTACATTTTAGCTGTGTTGTAGCTACATTTTAGCTGTGTTGTAGCTGTGTTGTAGCCATGTTGTAGCTACATTTTAGCTGTGTTGTAGCTGTGTTGTAGCCATGTTGTAGCTACATTTTAGCTGTGTTGTAGCTACATTTTAGCTGTGTTGTAGCTGTGTTGTAGCCGTGTTGTAGCTGTGTTTTAGCTACGTGTTAGCCGTGTTGCAGCTACATGTTAGGTGTGTTGTAGCTGTGTTGTAGCTACATTTTAGCTACATTTTAGCTGTGTTGTAGCCATGTTGTAGCTACATGTTAGCCGTGTTGAAGCTGTGTTGTAGCTACATTTTAGCTGTGTTGTAGCTACATTTTAGCTGTGTTGTAGCCGTGTTGTAGCTGTGTTGTAGCTACATGTTAGCCGTGTTGTAGCCATCATTTGTTTTGAACCTGTTCATGTGAAGGTGAAGGTGAAGGGAGGTGTGCTCGTCTCCTCAGTGGCAGTGGTTGATGAACAGTTTCTCCTGCAGGCGCTGTAAGTACATGTGCTACATCGAGGAGGAGGAGTCTCAGCCCCTGTTTAAAGTCAAGGTGGTGGAGAAAGGACACGAGGACCTGGTCCTGACAGGAAACACACCTAAAGGTGAGCATCGTGTCACCTGTGAGCAGCTTCTCTGCTGTGTGTACACACTTTGACTCTGTGTGTGTGTGTGTGTGTGTGTGTGTGTGTGTAGCTGTGTGGGACCAGGTTCTGGATCCTGTGGCCCAGTTGAGGAACTCCAGTGGAACTCTGAAGCTGTTTCCAGTTTACCTGAAAGGAGAAGACCTGTTCGGTTTGACCACATCTGCGGTGACTCGCATCATCGAGTCTGTAAGTTAAAGTCCTGGACACACGCTGTGAGCGGGGACACGCCTTACACTCACCTGCTGTTTGTGTGTGTGTGTGTCTGTGTGTGTTCAGCTGCCAGGTGTGGAGGTCTGTGAGCGCTACACCTTCCGTTACGGCAGGAACCCACTCATGGAGTGGCCCCTGGCCTTCAACCCGTCCGGCTCGGCTCGCTCTGAACCCAAAGCTTGCCAGGCCAAGAGGTAATGACAGAACTTCCTGTTAGCCAGTGCAGTTTAAGCTCCACCCTCTATGATGTCACACAGTGGGTGTGGTCTGTTGTAGGCCCTACCTGCTGACCAGCACTGCCCCCAGATGTCAGGGTTCTGTGGGCTCCATCGTGGGTCTTGTCCCCGGCGTCCTGTCTCTGTCTCCTGGAGAAACCGTGGCCGGCGCCCATCAGGGACGCCACTCCAAGTCGGCCCAGTACCGYCGCATGAAGGCAGAGTGGAAGAGCAACGTGTACCTGGCTCGCTCCCGCATCCAGGTGAGGGAGGTCATGTGACCTGTAGTGGACCTGTAKGGTCTGGGTCTGACTGTGTCTGTGTTCAGGGTCTGGGTCTGTACGCTGCCAGGGACATTGAGAAGTGCACCATGGTCATCGAGTACATCGGCGCCATCATCAGGAGTGAAGTGGCCAACCGCAAGGAGAGGCTCTATGAGTCGCAGGTAACACACCTGATGAGTCCTGACACGCACACACACACACACCTGATCACACCTGATGAGTCCTGACACACACACACACACACCTGATCACACCTGATGAGTCCTGACACACACACACACACACCTGATCACACCTGATGAGTCCTGACACACACACCTGTGGGACCCCGTCTCTGTGAATGAGGCGTGTCAGTCCGGTTCAGGTTCACCTGCTGCAGACCCATAAATGGATTGTTTTTTGTGGACGTTCAGGTAAATGTATTCATTGTTCAAGCTGTCAATCATCATTTATTAGAAGTGAAAATGTTTGTGTAGAGTAGAAGGTGAATGTTGGTGAGGAAGGGCTTGTTTGTGTGTTTGTGTGTGTGTGTGGGTTAGTGGAGCTAAGTTTAATGTGTAAATGTTCAGGAAACATTTGCAGGTAATGTTTCAGGATGCAGGTGGGACCACTGCAGCACTTCAGGCCTTTGCTCCTATGACTAAAGGGCTTGTGAAGTCTTGCCTAGTCCAGGCTTGTGGACAAGTCTAGTTGCTGAAATCCTCATTGACAGAAACATGCTGAAGGACCCTTGAMTTGTTTGGTTCAGGGGTCCAAGCATTAGACCAGGAGCTCTCCATCCTCCTGGTCCAGGTGCAGTCACCCAGGGGCTACATATGACCTCGTGATGAAAAGGACAGATGGTTTTGTCACATTTTGGATCTGAGGGGACTCAACCGGTGTTTGAAGGAGCTGCTTTTTCACAACATCACAGGTTCTTCAGGCTGTAGTGAGGGGAGTGTGGTTTACATCAAGAGATCTGACTGATGCATACTGATGAGCTCATCGAAGCAGAGCATCGTCACGTTCTCAGGTTTGCTTCTCAGGGTTTTTCCTGCTGCTCATGTTCAGCCTCTCCTTTTCCCTGAGGGTGTTCACCTGCTGTATGAAAGCAGCTCTTTCCCCTGCAGGCGACAGAATGAAGGGACTTCTGTATCTGGACGATTGGCTTCTCTCCGGATGCGGGTCCTTGCCCATGTGTCCCAGCTGGGGCTCAAGGTCATCTCTGATTCCTTCTCAGACCACCGTCTCTGGGGGTAGTCTCATTTGTCTTCTCTGAAGGCTGGACCGTGTGTTCAAAGAGTAAACAACACTACAGCTGGTCAGTCAGTTCAGGCTGGGCAGGCTTCCTGTGGCTGCGAGGCAAGCTGACGTCCGTCACTCAGGTGAGCCCCACAGGTGGCTCACCTGGATACCAGAACTCACTCACAGTGACATGGTTGTGTCTTTGTGCCCTGAAAGAGAGACRGGACTTATCTGTCCGGGGGCATCCCCATGGGGATGGTAGAGTGCTGCAGACAGGTGTTCACAGCAGGTGTCCTCTGCACAGGATGTGCTGTGAGGCTACACAGGTGCTGCAGTGTGCTGTTCATTTGACTCCAAGATACTTTCTCCTTCACTTAGAGAGAAGGTGTTCAACACCTCTGTGGTCTGTCACATCAATCAGGTCAGCTCAGCTTCTGAAGGTGTCCAGAGATCTGCTGGGATGGGCCTGTCCTCACCTGTCCACCCTGCAGGCAGTGTACCAGGACAGTACAACCTGGTCTCAGACTCTCTCTGGTCCAGGGGACTGGTCCCTTCACAGTGATGTAGTCCACATAGACTGGGGTCTCTCTGGTCAGGCAGAGGTAGATCTGGTTACCACAGAGGACTTGACTCATTGTCCTCTATGGTAGTCCCTCACAGGGGCATCAGGTTCACGGGGCCAGGATGTGTTGGGCCATCCACGTACCCCCTTTTTCCACTTCCCCTGATTTGTCCCACTCTTCAGACAGTCCTCAGGGAGCACMACAGGTTAGTGCTGGTGGCTCCATACTGGCCTGGTTCCACACACACACTTGTTTCTAGAGGGTAGAACCTGAGGAGGAACCTCAGGAACCTTAGTCCAAACTCTGAGGGTCAGCTGGGATCTATAAAGGAAAGGATCAGAAACATGTTYGATAAATCTGAACGTTTTTGGTGTTCGTTCATTTTTAGTATGGTTTKCTATGGGATAAGATAACTGTCAGAATTATTGTATGTGTAACAGTCTAAATTTGTAAGTCTATAAACGTACATAAATTTGTTACAACTTTGCCACATTACAAGTACGAATCAAATTTACAAGTACAAATCAAATTTACAAGTACGAATCAAATTTACAAGTACAATTCTTTTACCTGTCAAAATAACAGACATTATGCATGGAACACAGAAAAGATGGATTGCAAACAGTAACTAATCCAGACCACCAGGGGAACAGGACCACTGCCTCATTTGGGACCAGATGAACTCTTTATAAACAACAATTTGCTGAAAGGAAAAGCATTTGGAGGCTTTCAGTTTGTCAGTCATGTCATGTAGGACAACAATAAAGTACATAGTGGATTTATGATGAAATATGTTATTTTATTT